TAATTATATCTCCATGCTAACACAGTGCTGTTTATTCCTATCTACTCTTGTAACAAAACAGAAGTACTCTGCTGTCTCTCTCTGCAACATATCTACAGAGGTCCTAAAAGTCATCAATGCCACGGAGGAACTGATAGCAGAATCCACTGGTCCCAGTGATTTCCCAGCAGAGACTCATAACAGAGGGAGAGAGGCATTTCCACTCGGTACAGACCCTCTCAGACTGGATGAGCAGCTCACCACACTGGAAGAAAATGTAAGAGTACAGTATCACTATCACATATAGCAAATTGTCATCTTTAGAAGAAAAAAAATGGCTTGTGGTATATTGTGACCTAAGCAACAGCATGTTGTGTTTTGGTATTAATGTTGTGCTTAACAAAAAACAACTTGTTTTGAAAGGATCATTGGCTATTTTATTTATTTATTTATTTAATTCCATTTTGGAAACATTCCTAATAATAGGAGCAAACTGATCATGTGTTGGGTTTATAGCGTTTGTAAAATTATCTTATTCTAAAAAGAAACGTAACCCCTTAAAGGCAGGTGGTGGCCTGACATGTGACCTTGGCAAGCAAGCTACCTCAAGGTCTCTGCACAACCCCCTTGCATATGAAATCAGGGCACAAAGGTATGCAGGAAGACAAGGAGTAAGAGCAGCCTTGGCTCCGCTGCCACCCCCAGCACACCAGTCTGAGCTGATAAGGGCCTGGAATAAGGGGAAATGGACAGCTGTGGCACCTAGATGCTGCTTCTGGGGTGGTGCAGCTATGCACTGCCCCATGACATAGAGCAGACTGGAAAACCACAAATTAGTCCTAAAAATTTCCTAATCCCTCAGAAGAATTCCTTCTGTCCTTTGGAATGAGCAAGTGGTACCCACCATCATCCAAAGGAAGAATTTTAACTATTTGTACGCAATGTTCCTTCTAATTTTTTTCCCTCCATGTGTGGAATACATTTTGTCATGTGCAAATGTGCACCACCTGTATAAATACATGCTGCCAGCTGTAGGCGCTCTGCTTCTCAGCTCGGAGGCATTTGAATCTCTCCTTGGTGGCCGTCCAAGTGCACAGCTTATAGGGAACTCAGTTTATACGTCGTCATTAACTCAACGTTCTGGGATAATAGTTCTTTCATGCCTCCCAATCGTGTCTGTCTTACTTAGCTGGTATTTAGACTGCTGTAGTTTGTCCTCTTTAGAAACTTGTAAAGTTTAATAGGAATCTCAAATATTCCATTATAACAATTAAAGGAAGTAGACACCTGCTTTACTCACAGACTGAAAATCCATAAAGAAAGAAGCTCCTCCCAGTGGTTGAATTCACTTCATCCATGTTAGACTGTCCGTTCTTGTGGTCGGGCACTGTCTTCTGGCTATGTTTGCACTGCACCTAACGTGATGGAATCCTGGTCCATGCTTGGGACTTGTTGGTTTCCTGATAATGCAAATAATACAAATACATTTGAACTAAAGTTACATCTACCGCCCGCCTTCTGTTCTTGCCAATGATCTGAAATAGTGGCTGCTGCCCATTAGCATCACTTGCAAAGGACATTGAGCTCTCTTGTTACCACATTTGCCCATTACTCTGAGGTATGCTCATCTATTAGGGTTACTCTAATAGGGCTGGGGAGAGGTTAATAATTCTATCAGTGTGCTGCTTGTGCTACTTGTGCTCTCATATGGAGCTGAATTCTCCCTGCTGTCAATCTCCCCCCATGCCTCCTATGTTCCTCAGGGTGTTACGGACTAGTCAACTATCAAATAAGCATTTGCTTATCAGGTAGTCAAGTCAACTAGTTGATTTCCCCACCCCCACACACTAGCTGCCTCTATTAGATAGAGGCAGCAAAGGGGGGGAAAGGGAGGTACTTCAAAGCATCTCCATGCAGCGTTAGCCCTTTGAAACGCCGCCGCATTTGAAACACTCCGTGTGGTGCTGCTTTGAAACACCAAGTTGGCATTTCAAAGAGGCAGCACTGCACAGCTGAGCCCGAGGTTAGCTGGGGACTCCCCAGCTGATCCCAGGTTCCAGTGTAACGTGCAGAGTGTGGGGTCAGCTAGGGAGTCCCCAGCTAACCCAGGCTCCACGTGGCATTTCAAAGTGGCAGTGCAGCATGGAGCACGGGGTCAGTCCCCAGTGACCCCAGGCTCCAGGAGGGCGTTTCTGCTTGGAAATGCAGAAGAGCCCCTGCTGTGGACTCTTGTACATTTCAAAGTTGGCATGCTGCATGCAGTAAGGGGAGGAAGATGAGAGGGTGCTGCAAGGAGCCGGGTTAAAAGCTGGTTCCCCTCCAGTTCTGTGTGACAGGGCAGGGGTGCAGTGGCAGCACTTCTGCTTTGAAATGTACAGGAGCCCCAGCAGAGGCTCTTGTACATTTCAAAAGAGGAATGCAGAAGTGCCTATCAAGAAGTCGAGTAGTCGATGGAAATTCCATCGACTACACAACTAGTAAATTAACCACAATTTAACATCCTTATCCTCAGGACGAGGTTCTTCCCACTTTAGAAACACATGGACACTCACACCCACTAACAGCATGTCTGAGAGGAGTGGGTAATCAGCACTCACAAGCTGACCCCTTATATGTCCCTGGACTCAGCAGACTGAGTTTAACAGCAATGCCACGCTGCACCCTCATGTGCCTTTGGACTCAGTGGACTGGATTTAATAGCACTTTAAGCTGCCATCCTCATATGCCTCCAGGTTCAGCACCTCCCTATCCCCATTTTCACACCACAATCATTCTTCTGGTAAACCACATGATGAGAAAACCCCTCAGGATTTTTGGGCACTACACGGATCTTTAGCTTAGGTACAAGAAGCATTGTTGCAGAGTGAAAGGGGAAGCCAAACCAATACCCCTGAGAAAGAATGAGGGAGAGAGAAAGAAAAGGAGAGAAAAGCAACCACCTTAACAATGAAAGTGATTTATTTCTGGGTGGTGAATATATAGATGTATGAGGAGCCAAACACACAAAGCAGTTACAATATTAAATCTAAATTGAAATTGATTACAAATGTTAGGGCTAGCAAACCATATAACCGATTACATAAGGCAGGGTCAGGAGGCTATGCCTAGAGATAGATGGGAGTAAGGAAGAGAGAGGGAGAGATATATCTCACCACTTTGTAGAGCTTGCACTGATCGGGGTTCCCAGATGGTGATGGTAACTGGGGGTCCAGAAGGCAGGAGACAAGCAGAGCAGAGCCCTCAGCACGATCAGGCAGGAGATGATGAAGTCTCAATGGAACGGATGCAGGGTTTACATCCACCCTTGAGCAAGGGTAGGCATTTTTGTAGGGACAGGACAATGGTTCACAGAGGACACTGGATTTGTTTATGGGTAAACAGAGGTGAGACAATAGAGAATGATCATGTCTGGCTATGGATGATGTTTCTTGAAAAAGCTCACAATGCAACTAGGAAGTTTCAGTATTTTGGATATCAATAGGATACATTACTAGAATTGGTCTGATAATGACTAATTTGGGGGTTAGCAGGCCTGGGTTCATTAGCATCTGGAGCAGAGATTTCCCATCAGGCAGTGCTTTCCTGCTTTCCCATAGTTCACTGCGGTTTCTGCTTTGGAAGAGCTGTTCTCCACTCTGTATGCTAATGGAGATGTCTCTCTGTTCTATCTTCAATGCAGACTAAGCTGGGGGTGTTTCCTTAATCCTATTACCCTTGTCTGGAGGAGGTTAGGTGTGTCTTCCCCTGCCTTTTTATTGCTTTGTCTTTGATTCAAGGAGAGGCCTGGGGAGGGGGTTTGTTTTCCAGGAGTATCACTCCCTGGCTCCCTAAGAGCACAGGGCTGACAGGTGGCCATGCTCTAGTTCCCCAGAAACACAGAGCTGGTAGGTAACACTCTGGATCCCATAACCCCTTGCCCCGACTGGTTCCTCACCTTGTTCAAATGCTGCCATTTTATGGGTCTGTCTACACTGAAGCTGGGAGCGCTCCCTAGGTTAGCAGGGTCACAATAATGTGCCAGAATTGCTCCATGGACTTTCCAGCTCTGGTAGGGATTCAGAGCCCAAACTCTGTGTGAGCTGGAAGGTCCATATTGCTCTGATGAGTGCACTAGCTCAAATTTTACTGGCCGAAGCCCTGCTACCGCATGATGCAGACCCACCCTCCTTTGGCATGTTGAGAACATTTCCTCCATGGTGAGCCAAGGTCCTTGTGTGGTTGCTCTCCCTGTACAGCCCAACCCTGGAAGTCGGTGGTGCTGGGAGCTTCATGGTTCCTTCTGCAACAAGGCCAAGTTCACCACTGCAATGCTATTTCGTTTGAACACATTTGAAAGGGTGCCAGAAAATGAAACTAAACTAAAGCATGTGTAATAGAAATGCCTAAAGTGTCCTTAAATCAGTTTCCTGGCAGGGTTCAATTGATTTTGAGGTACATTAATCAGTGTAATGAACTAGCAAGTTTAGAGTGTCAGGAAATGTGGACATTTTAGTCACTTAAAATATTTAGTGATTTAAGCTTTCCGTCCTGCATTGGGCTCCTCTTGTAGCAGATCCCTGTGCCTGTGAAGAGCCCTGATGACTAGGAGAATGAGAACAGACTGAAAACTGGAAGCCGGATTGTGCTGTGCCACAAGAGGGGCTGGAAGAGGAGGTGGCCAGTTTAAAAGATTTCCTCCCCATTGTTTTGCTCCCTATCCACGAATAAACAGTGGCCTCCACCATTAACTTCCACGAAGATCCCCCCCACATCTCTTTGGGATCCATTGAGGCACAGGGTCTTTTGCATTCACATCAGTGGTGACTTTCCTGCTCTGTGACGGTACCACCCGAGTCACGATGCCAGGACTTTCCCACACTTGCAGCACTTCCCAGAATTTTCCTCTGATGGGTTCCCCAGCACAGAGTGGCTCCACAAGAGAGGCATACAACCTCACCCTGATTTCACTTTCCTGCAAAAGTCATTCAGGCTGCAGTGCGTGGGCAGAGGGGAGGGGAGATGCACATTATCCACCTTCTCCCTCAAAATCTTGGCCCATTGAAATCAGTGTCTACATTTCCATAGGCTTCAGTGGGCCAGGTTTTCACACCTCATATCTATATACGCAGGCTTGAAGAACCATCTTTAAATCCAGGACTTGTGCCACAGAGTTAATTGTTCCATCTTCTCAAATGCAGCTGAAGGCAGAACTGATCATACAGGATCTCTTCTGCACATGAGCTGGGCTTCAGAAGAGACCCAGGATTTTTATTCATCACTAGTAATTCTCCTTAACAATTATTGGGAATTAGGTGTATGAATCAAAGGGGAGACTAGAGAACACACGTTTCTGCTAAACACACAGGAAGAGCCTTACATGTTGTTTGCAATAACTGAATGCCTCTACCTTATGGCTGAGTTTGGTTTATAAATTTAAATGTATAGCTCAGTGTTTCTCAACCTGTGGTACGAGTACCCTCAGAGGTACTCGAGAGAAGTCTGAGGGGTACGTCAACACAACTGAAATTTGGAGAAAACTGAATTTTTGTTTTAAGTTTTACAGCGCTTTATTATTTTTGTACTTTTTACACCCAAAAATCTCATTGCCTGCCTGGCTATGATTAAGTTGTTTAAACAAATGTGTTGCAATGGTAGAAAAAAAATGTGTGTCTGAAAACTGTACGTACTGGGGGCATTTATAATTTTTTTTAAAAGGGGTACTCTATTAAAAAAAAGGTTGAAAACACTGGTATAGCAAAATACATATTTTAGAGGGAGATTTTCAAAAACATAAAGAGAAGTTAGCCCAACTCCTATTGAAAATGAATAGGGTTTGTTTGGGTGCCTCCCTACTCTCTGTGACTTTGAAACTCTCCCCGGCAGAGCTGACAATGAAATCAAATTTCAACAAAAATTGAGGGTGGAGGAATTAGGAAAACTTTGTGAAAAATATTTCTATAGTCCAAGGAGTTCTGTTGTCCATAAGCATATTTCCTTGTGAAAAATGTAACTTCTTGTACAGTGAATTTTGCTATAACAGATGCATTTTCTTTAGTTTTCTGGAGGATTTGTAGAATTGAGTATTTCCTTTTTTCCCCTCCTCCTCCTCTTGGAGCTGCATGTATATATTTTGCAGAAAAGAAGTCAGATAAAAAGTCTCTTTTTAATCTAAAATTACCATGTGGCAAATGTTGCACAACAAAGAGATTGCTTTGAAATTAATTTTTTTTTAAAAAAATCCACCAAAGCATGGAAATTCTTGTTTGTCAGAATGTTCATCTTTTAGTCATTCTTTGCCTTAAAGGCTTCAACCAAGATATCAAGGAAGGCCACTTCTTCCCAGCAAACCACATTTTTCAAGGATTTAGCCTACATGCTGAAACTTGCCATTTTGGAGATTCACTTAGTACAAGACAAAGTGTTTTAAGGTTATCAACACAGTAACATAGGTGTAAACAAATAAAATACAGGTTTATACTCAAAGCCATGGTTTTCAACTCATGGTCTACAAGCCCCAGGGGTCCATGAACTATGTCTAAAGGGCCCGCAAATGATGTTTGTTACCATAAAACAATGGCCAACAGACTATGTCTAAAACAGGGGTGGGCAAGAGGCTGCTAGCGGGCCCGCCAAGCCACCAGATCTGGCCCGCGGCTGCCTCACTGGCACCCTTAATACAGAGCAGATGCAGCAACTTTAAACAGCAGGCTAATTGGTCTGCAAGCTGGGCGGGGAGGAGAAAGTTTTGTGTGCTGTCCCCACCTCCTTGCAGAATCCCCAAGCTCCCATTGGCCAGTTTCCGGCCAATAGGACCTGAGAAATGTTGCTGAAGGCAGGAGCAGTGAATGAAGCATCCTCACTCCTTCACTCCTCCTCTTCTCCTCCCCTCCCCTCCCCTCACCCCCCCCCCCCCCCCCCCCTGC